GCAGCCGGGATTACAGGCACGCGCCACCATGCCCAGCTAATTTTTTGTATTTTTAGTAGAGACGGGGTTTCACCGTGTTGACCAGGATGGTCTCGATCTCTTGACCTCATGATCCACCCACTTCGGCCTCCCAAAGTGCTGGGATTACAGGCTTGAGCCACCGCGCCCGGCTTGTTTTCCTTCTTAAAAGTAATTAAGATAAAATGTGTAAAAATGCCTATTTCATAGTAAATGTTCCACAAAAATGAATTCCCTTTCTTCTTAAAATTTAGTTTCTTCTGTTGAATACCAGTAAGTGGGGGGGAAAAATTAGTTTCTTCTTATCTGCCCCATTTGGATTTCATGTGCCTTTAGACTCACACTGGCACATATGTGTACTTGCTACCTGTTGACTCCATTTCCTCTGTCCTGAGGATTCTATGTGTGGAATTTTAAACAACAGCCACTCCCTGTAGCTTACTTCATTGAAACATTAGAAATGGGTTTTTTTAAGATGGCATTTTTTTAAGTGAATAATATTTTAGAATTTAAAAGGACATTAGCGTTCATACAGTTAGGGATGTCAAGAACATATACACATGGCAGAAGATGATACTATAAAGTTAGACTAGGACCACATCATTTTTTTAAAAAGCAAGCCTTTATTCTGAAGTTACTAGGCAATCACAGAACATCTGTAAACAAGGAGAGAGATGTTCAGACTTGCCTTCTACTGCAGGTGCTCATCTGACTTCTATTTGAACATTCGTAGCTATGGAGAGCTCATTCCTTACCAAATCTACCTATTCTAAGAATTAGAAGTGCTTCCCCAACTGAGCTGAATTTTTCCTTCCCTGATACATATTTGTTGGTAATCCTAGCCTCAGGAATACCATCAGCCTTCTTTTTCTTTGTACATAAAAACAAGGGAGCCAAGGTGTTTCACGCCTGTAATCCCAGCAATTTGGGAGGCTGAGGCAAGAGGATCGAGGCCAGGAGTTTGAGATCAGCCTGGGCAACATAGTGAGACCCCATTAACAACAACAAAAAAAAGACTGGGTGCAGTGGCTCACAACTGTAATCTAGCACTTTGGGAGGCTGAGGCGGGCGGATCACGAGGTCAGGAATTCGAGACCAGCCTGGCCAGCATGGTGAAACCCCGTCTGTGCTAAAAATACAAAAAATTAGCCAGGCATGGTAGCAGGCTCCTGTAATCCCAGCTACTCGGGAGGCTAAGGCAGGAGAGTTGCTTGAACCCAGGTGGCAGAGGTTGCAATGAGCCGAGACCACACCATTGCACTCCAGCCTGGGTGACAGAGCAAGACTCCATCTCAAAATAAAATTAAAAATTAAAAATTGGCCGGGCATCATGGCTCACGCCTATAATCACGGCACTTTGGGAGGCTGAAACAAGCAGATCACTTGCAGTCAGGCGTTTGAGACCAGCCTGGCCAACATGGTAAAATTCCATCTCTACTAAAAAATATAAAGGTTAGCCAGGCGTAGCATACAGCTGTAGTCCCAGCTACTCAGGAGGCTGTGGCAAGCTACTCATGCCACTGCCCTCCAGCCTGGATGACAGAAGGAGACTCTGTCTCAAAAAAAAAAAAAATTAATTTAATTAAATTAAAAATGTAACCAGGAATGGTGGTGCACATCTGTAGTCTCAGCTACTTGAGA